ACCATTTTTCACCCTAGTTCTGGATGTACCCCAAAAACAGGGGGTACACCTTTAAGTACCGCTTGAAAGGTCTTGGTTAGGGGAACAATCTGTCGAAGTTTCAGCCCATTCGGTTATGGGGTTCGGGAGTTATGGAGGTTTGAAGTTTTGACCGACTGCACGGATTTTCTAGCCGAAAATAGTTCCACAAGTTTTGGCCCTGCAGTCGGTCTCTGTTCGCCGGTTACAAAAGACGAAATTCTTGCCATCCACAACTATCTCCGAGTTCGCTGGATTCCCCATAGCTGATTAAGTGAAACTACCAAATGGCCCGTGATTCGGTAGTTTCCGTGCGAAGTTCTGGTTGTATGGAGGTCTCAGCGGTGTTCGCCTGTTTGCGTATCCGATTTTAGTTCCACGCGTCGACGGGCAACCACCGCTGTTTGCACGTAAAATGGCCGCGGCCACGTGTAAAGTGCCGAAATGCCGGCCATCCATACTTAACACAAAGAATTCGTCTGAAATCATACGAACGGCTGTATTCCCCAGTAATGGTATTCCCTTGCAATAATTTCGACATTTTCACTGTTTTAGTCCACAGGGCTTTGGTGCTGGTGAAGTCCTGTTACAACGCTAAAACCCAGCAAGTGTCATATAGGGATGGCAGAGGTACAGGGTAGGGAGTGGGCAGCAAAAACTGGAACCAGCCAAAATAGAGGCTGTAGCTACAAAAACCCAAGTGTTAGCCTTCCTGGGTACCGCAGGATACTACCGGAAGTTTGTACCCAATTACAGTGCCCTGGCCAAACCCCTTACTGACTTGACCCGCAAAAATCTTCCTCGACAGGTCATATGGGCCCCAGAGTGTGATCAGGCATTTCAACAACTCAAGACTGCTTTAACCAATGCACCTGTACTTGCTGCTACTGATCCAACTAAACGATTTCTTGTCCACACAGACACTTCAATGTTTGTCTTGGGGGTAGTGCTGAGCAAAGTTGGAGCAGATGGCGGAGAACATCCCATAGCTTACTTGAGCAGAAAGTTATTACCATGAGAAGTAAGCTTCGCCACCATCGAGAAAGAATGCCTGGCCGTGGTGTGGGCTCTCAAAAAGTTGCAGCCTTATTTGTACGGGCAACCCTTTTCCTTACTCACAGATCACAACCCGTTGGTGTAGCTGAACCGTGTGGCTGGCGACAATGCCAGGCTGCTGTGCTGGAGTTTGGCGCTGTAGCCATTCGACTTTACCATTCATTATCGCCCCAGAAAGCAAAACGGTAACGCCGATGGGTTATCCAGACAAACTGAACTTGAAAAATGATCTGTGAGTACTCCTCCGGACATCCCCCAAGCCAATCTGTTAGGGTCAGACTGTGAATGCCGGCTTGTTTCTGGGGGAGCATTGTGGCAAACCTAGCCACCTAAGACTATTTTTTTTTCTTTATATTTGACGGTTGCCTTAGAAAGACTGGTTTATATATGATTGATGTGTTTGTTTAAAATGTGAAAGAGGGAATTCGTATGCTAGTGGCACGAAAGCCGCTAGCATTCATATGGTAGTTTCACGAACAGTGATTTTCAACACTGTTTTGTGAAATGAACAAAGTACCGAATGGGAGCCCACACACGGGGTCGTGTGGCTCCCATTAACCGATTGCAATAATGTATCTATCAGCTGTTAATTGATTCACAGGGTGGCCGTCGTTTGGCTACCGACCACAAGGCGGCTGCCATCTTGGATTCCCTTTTTGCCCAGCGGTGTTTGGTCGTTGAGTGCCTGGAACTAAAATCAGCTACTCGATGGCACGAACACCACTGGACTTTCAGGCCCTAGGGAGTGCCGGTCTTTCGGTACTTTTTCCCCACTTGTGTATTCGTGACTTTTATGAGAAAATGTATATTAAAGTGTATTTCGTGCGGCGTTCGACTGATTCTGCTGGGATCTGAGCGGTACTTTCACGAAGTATGCGCTCAGACCCCAGCTATCTGCCGAACGGTCATTTGGTACAATGACACAAATAATATGCAAGTTATGGATTTTTATGTGAAAAGCCGGTTCTGCTGTACGGAGGACTTAACAGGATATTCTAGTGGGAGTATAGCAGTGCATGGTGGGAGAAATGTTCTGTTTATGTTAAGTCTCCCATGTAGTCCCCTACTGTACAACCCCTGTAAAGTCAGTAAGGAAACCCCTTGCATGGGGAACCAAATAAATACTGGAGCTTGGGAATAAAATTGTCAGTTGACTCCCAGAACTGTGTTTCGTCCGGTTACTGGTGGGGATTTGGGATATTGCCTTCATTTTCCAAGCTTTCCTTGGATTACCTTATTTTACCAGCGGAGATATTGGGATTTAATATTGCAGATCCGCTACAGCTGGAAGTCATATTTTGACCGACTGCACGCACATTTTCATGCCCAAAATTGTTCCAGAGAATCAGGCTTTACGGCCGGTCTATTTTCCCTGTTAACAATAGTTCAAATAGGTGAACGGCAACTGTTCGTTTGTGTTCGTTTGTCGAATGGCGGCCACTTCGGCTGTATCCGAAGTGCCAATTTAAAGTTGCAAA